TGGAATGTGTTTCTTTCCAAGAGTCCTGGATAGCTAACTCTTCTGCCATTTAAAAAAAAGGTTTTTGCTAATGTTTTCCTGTTTGGTTTATTTATTTTTTGGGTTTTATAGTCCAATTCCACATCTACTATTGCATTGAAGTCTCCTAGAATACATATATTTTCATATTCCAATTCTGTTTTTTCTTTATGAAGTTTATTGTAGAAATCCTCTTGATTATTGTTTGGTGCATATATTGCCACTAAGAGTATCTGTTTGTAATTCATCGTTATCTCCACCATCAAAATCCTCCCCTCTTCATCCATAAAAAATTGTTTTGCATTTATTTTCTCTTTAATGTAAAGTGCCAATCCTCTTTTGCTTTGGTTTGGGAGGGAGGCATATAGTTTCCCAATTTTAGGATAGTCCAGTACTTTGCTATGTTGCTTTTTAATATGTACTTCTTGAAAACGTCCAATTTTAATTTTTCTAATTTATTAAAAGTCATTTTCCTTTTCATTGCCGAACTCAATCCATTTATGGTGATTGATATCAATTTTATTTCTTCCTCCATGTCTTTATTTATAATAATGTTTTGTCGCTCTTGTCACTCTTGTCTCTCTTGGTTCTTTTGGTTTCGTTCCTTCTCTTATTGCTCTTTCTTCTCAGTCTGCTTCCTCTTTTTGTTGTCTGTCTCTCTGCAGTTTCCTTACAACATCTGATTTCTTCTTATCTTACTCTCAAGAAATGAAAGTATGAACTAGTCTAGGTCCAAATTTCTTTTTCTTCAGGTTCATTTTACCTTAATCCAAATGTTTTATTGGTAATAGAAAAAAAGAGGAACAAAAAGAAGAAACAAAAAGAAAAAAAAGGGAAAGTAGCAAATTGTAATCCAAATTGGCCCACCAACAGGGGTGGATTTCTACTGGTTCTGTCCACCTCTGTAGAACCGGTTGCTCCGAAGAGCAGCAGACATAGAACCGGTTCTATGTCTGCTGCTGTTTTGGCCCGCCCACCCGCCTGGGCTCTTACCTGACCTTTATTTCCTGCTTTTTCAACTGCAGCTGCTTTGCGCGACACAGCTGCAGTTGAAAAAGCAGGAAACAAGGGCTTTTCCAACTGCTGCGCACTTGCATGCAGTGCTGCTCAGATGTCCGGGCAGCTCAGCAGGTTGTAAATTGCACTCGCACAACTTGCACTTCTCGCGCATGCGTGCGTGACGCTAATAGACGCTAATAGACAGATAGTTATATCAGTCGGATCCCATCCCTGCCCACCAACCCTCAGTGTTCAATCCTCAATTATTATCTTTCCAACCAGAAAAAAAGGAAATTCAATTGTAATCCAAGAAAGGGGTAAAAGTATCAGTTCTCATCAAAATCCAGAGTTCTTTTTCTTCAGGTGGTTCTTACCTTAATCCAAATTTTATTAGGAGTAGTAAATACGAAAAGCAACCAAAAGAAGAAACAAGAAAAAAGAGGAAGGGGGAAAAATCCAAATAACAAGTTGTAATCCAGATTGGCCCACCAATCCTCAGCATTCAATCCTCTATTGTTGTATTTCCAGGATTTTAAAAAAAGAGATTTCACAGAGCAAACTCAAAGGCACCAGAAAAAAAAGTAGTCCAAGAGAAAGGGAATCTTTTAGTATTTAGTTCTCATTTGTCTGATTTGTTTTCATTAAGTTCCAAGAGTTACACTGTTCAAAACAAAGGTTTCAGTGATCCACTCTTTATCTTTCACCTTCAGACAAAATAATCCTGTTATCTTTCTATTCCCATGTAACCAAGGTCGTATTTTCTCTTTTCAATCTTCTATTTTCACTTCAACCTGCAGGTGGCACTGTTGCTCTGCTTTCTCTTTTCTCTTCCTTATATTATCCCAATATAAAGTATAGTTCTTTATCTTTTTGTATTTTATAGTTGAAAACAAGAGAAAAACAAAAATCTAAATCTCAGTTTTAACACTATCCAATATTTTTAGTTATTCCAACATGTCCAGTCCAGCTTCAATACCAAATTTCTTCCAAGAAGTCCATGATTAATTAGTTCCTTTTTCAATTGGCTCTTTAAAACAAACTTTCCTCACCGCTTATGGGGGTGGAGTGGAAAGAAACCCACTTCCACCTCTCTCTTTTAGCTTTTCCTTCTCCCCACTTTCCCAGAGGAGCTTTCTCCAATAGTTAATTTTAACTTAAGTTTCTCACCCAGCACAACCACACCTTCTTTCCAGTTTCTCTTTCTTCCGGTAGCTGTCCCAGCTTCGTAGCGGCTCGCAATGGCCACGTTCCCTTGCCGTCAGCTTTGAAGGCTTTCTCTGGATCAACCAGGGAATTTGCGGATTCCCTGGGATTGACGGAGTGTGCCTTCTACAATTATCATCCCTCCGGGACCATTTAGGTCCAGCTGGACCACCTGACAGCTGAGATTTCAACACCCTCCCTCCCGTGCTCCAGGAAAGCTCATGGGATCGCCGCGACGTCAGCTCTGCCCTCCCCTTTTACAAGATTTTTAGATATCCATATCATGTCAATCCTTGAAAAAGAATTGTGTCTTTCAGAGAAAAAGGTATATTCTCTGGCATTAGTCCACCAATCCATCCATCATCTCAAAAAAAGTCTTAGGTAATTTACCCTGTGAGGGTTTAACTCCTTTAATAGCTGTTCTATCCAAGACTGGTGCTGTCACTCCATTCCAATCCCCCAACATAAACCAATTTCCATACGAAAAAGGTGATAATTGATCCATTAAATAGTAAAAAAATTGCTTCTGTCATCATTTGGCCTATACACGCCCACCACTATTGATTTTATCCCATTAAAGTTCTATTTCCACTACTATAAATCTACCCTGATCATCTGCTATAAGTAGCTTAGGTTTAAACTGGGGTTTTAGATATAAAACAACTCCCTTAATCTTTTTACACCAGCTGATATAAATTCCTTTCCTAGATTTTTATTTATCAAATATTTCTTGTCTTGTTTCTTAATATGTGTTTCTTGAAGACAGACTATATCCAAATTAAGTTTCCTCAAATAGTGAATTTTTTTTCACTTCGATGGAGCATTTGCTCCATTAACATTCCATGTGAAAATCTTAATCTCCATCTTTAAGCACCATAATAGATTCCTGTACAACTACCTTGACCCCCTCTTCTTTCTTTTTTCTCTCTGCCACATCTTTTTGTTCAATACCAACTTTAGGGTCTTTCACAACCACTTGTTTTTTATCTTGGTCAGTCACTAACTTCTTTTCTATACCTGTTTCTCCACATGTGTCAGGGATTAGTTTATATCTGATTAAAAAGTCCTTAGCTTTCTCTATGGAATTCAGCCTAAATCTTTGCTCATGGTAGGTAAGTACAGAAGTGGGCTGCACTTTCGTTGACAAGGGGCTTGCTGGTCGCACACTCGCTTTGCTCACATGCACTGCTTTTGGGCTGAAACACAGCTTCAAACAGGCAGCTAATTGACTCAGGCAGCTCCAGTGAGTACAGCAGGGTGGTGCAGAACTCAGCTGGGCAGCGTGGGTGGGGGGGGAAGTTAGTTATTTAGGGAAAGCATAGAACAAGGGCAGGTGGGAGGGCCCAACACGGCTAGGGGCTCGCCTGAGCCCTGCCGACCACCCAGCAGCCCACCACTGGGTAAGTATCACCCCTTATAGTCTGTCCCAGTGAAATAAGATTTCTTCTCTGCATCAGGATATCAATGAGAACAATATAAGATTTCCTTTTGCTCAAAATTCTAACAGAAATTTCCTTCAAAACAATAATACCTGTAGTATCCATTACTATTACCTATACTTAAGTTGGCAACCCAGAACCCAATCCCTTGTTATTTTTCTTGTGAAGTGAACTCGCACACCCCGACACCTGCCTTGCCGGCCCATTTCTTCTGCAACCACCAAGGCTTTCCTGAAGGCCTCTGTAGCCAATAACAGATCTCCGGATCGATATAGTGACAAATATTTGTAGCTTGGGTGTAGGATGAGTGTGAAGGTTTGTTCTCCAAGCTTGTGGGTTGGTTTCTGAATGTTTTGTTAGCAGGCTGGGTAATCTTAACATATGGGTAACATAGGTTACCAGGCTAGGGTTGAACATATATAGAGTCAATTTTGCCATTGCATATTCTCCATTTTTAGTTTCCAGTCTGATATTGTAGGCAAATTTTTTCTTTTCCAATGTTGTGCCAAATTTGTTCTTGCAGCTGTCAGCATGTATCTTAGTAAATTGTGATATTTTTCATTTATACATCATAAAAATATTTGTGGGTTCAGTTCAAATTTTATTTTTAGGATTTTCTGAATATTTTGATGTGTATTTCTCTAGTACTTTTGAGGGTTTTTTTATATAACCACTACAATTAAGCATGTGTAATGTGATGGCTGAGTAGAGAAGATAGTAATTAGAAAGTCACATAAACAGGGATCTGTTCTATAAAAGAATGAGAGAAAAGAGGGTTAATGGATCTATGAGGAAAGTGAAGGCCAGAAGTTGATTATATGGGGTGTTTTTAAGTTAGATGTTTAGCTTTTTGCTTGTAAGTTTATGTTGTTGTATGTTTATGTATTGTGTTTTTATCTGTTCTAGAAGAATTGAGTATTATTGAAACTTCAGTAATATTAAGTTCTTCTAGAGTAGATCCCTGTAAATGAAGATGGGAAAATCATGAAATGATAGCAAGAAGCCACATTGTTGCATGCCCCTGATCATCCTTTCCTTGTGTGACACTGATTAAAGTTAATCATAGAATGGTTTGCTTTACTTTAAAAAAATAGCTGCCTATTTATCTTTTTTTGTGTCTTGCTTAGAAACAAAGTGTCAGTGATGCATTAGCATCTTCCTGTGTTGGCTTAAAAATGATCATATTTAAGTAACCTTAAGTGTCTCAGGAAATTGAAGTTTTAATTTTTCCTTTAGAGAAAAAACAGCATGCTTTAGTTCATAGAAGAGTAATAACTACAGGCATGCTAATTTTGTGTATTGAGAATAAACATTATTATTATAAGAGACTTTTTCTTGTAGGCAATGGAACATGCAAATGGAATGGAGTTGGATGGTAGAAGAATCCGGGTGGATTACTCTATCACAAAGAGAGCGCACACGCCCACCCCTGGCATCTATATGGGCAGGCCAACTCAGTAAGATATTCTTTTTATTTAAAGACTGTCTTAGCATTATTATTATTATTATTATTATTATTATTATTATTATTATTATTATTATTATTATTATTATTATTATTCCATTTGCCATGGGACTTCAAGTGAAGTGTTCAGTTCCTTTAAACATGTTCTAGTCTAAAGACTGCTTTATTTCACTATATTATTTCCAAACTCTGAACAACCTACTTCACTGAAGTGTTCCATCAGAATGTTTCAAAAGGATTGTGTTTCAGTGCAACTCCAAATAGTTCCAGTATTCTGCTGTAGGGAACCAATAGGACTCAAAATAGGCCCATTGTTTCTCTTTATGTTTTGGTCCTAGGGCTCCAGAAGTAGGTGCAATTGTAGTCTCTGCTGAGTACTTCCTGAAGAATAAATAAATGCTTTGAAAATTGCCATAGCAATCAATGGAAGCAACAGTTCTATTCACTTTTGCAGCCTTCCTTTACAAATAGCCTCAGAACCTAATCCAGTTAAGAAGCATTAAATTCAGGACAGGCCATGAACAACATTTATTTATTAAATTTATATGCTGCCCATCTTACTGTCTGGTGACTCTGGATACCTTACAAAAGCAAAAATAGAAACATTAAAACATTAATATTAAAATTAAGAGAAATTAAATAAAGCAGAAATCAGAATATAACAGGGTAGGGTAGGGGCTTCTTCTTAGTCCACTACCCACCTCCATGTGGAATGCCCCCATTGGGAGCCAGGCCAATTGGCAGAGCCAGGTTTTGAAGCTCTGTTGGAAGGCCAAGTGGGTGGGGGTGTATTTCACCTCAAGGGACATGATGCTCCAGAGGGTGAGAGCTACAGCAAAAAAGCCCCTTCTCCTGGACCCCGCCAGCCAAAATTCCTTGACCAATGGGGTCTGTAGCATGCCCCTTCTGCCAGAACAAGTGGGGTGGGCCAATCCCATTGGGATGAGACAATTCCTCAGGTGTATACAATATAGTTCCCTAACAATTGACTTGAGCATTCTTAATGCACATGTACAGTGCACATGTAACCTTCCTGCCAAGTTTAACAAAGTACTGCAGTTTTTATATATAGTACCTTGGAATTGACCAATAAAACATGCAGTGCACAGTTTTGTTTTTGCCAACTGCCAGAAAAACTCTCCTCCATTCACTACATCCAACCAAGGACTTCAGAGATAGTACATATGCCTGCTGTAGTATCAACTAATTTTTATATGCTTAGTTACTTGATTACTATATTTGTTTTTATATGACTTTTATTGTTTTATGAATGTATAAAATACAAATAAAAATAAAAATAGGAAATTAAGGGAAGAAAATAGGTACAAGGGAAGAAAGAAAAAGGTGCTGACTTCCGACTCTTTTTAACACAGTACAAGATAACATTACAGCCTCAAATTTTACTTTTACACATTAGTATATAACTAGCCATTTCTACTGTGTTTTCCCAAAAATAAGCCCTAGCTTGATTTTTACGTGTGACCTAATATAAGCTGTACCCCCAAAATAAGTCCTAGTTAAGACCCCGCCCATTCCGTCCCACCGTCTGGTACGTGGGGCAAGGCGCATGTGTAAAAATCGGTGAGGGTGGAACTCCCCCACGCGCCCTGCACCCGTTTACCTTAGGACTGCTGCAGCCAGGCCTCCCATGTCCTGACACCTGTTGCGCCACTGCTTGACTTCCTTTGCAGCTGGATGCCACGTGCATCGTGCCGGTCCCGCTGCTTGTGTGCACAATGGCACCACCAATTTTATATTATTTATAAAATAATTTTTATAAACCATCACAATTTATATTAACAAAATTCACAGCATTCTTTAATATTTAACCTTAAAGGGAAAAATACTTTTTTTTTCATCCACACTAAGCTTTTCTTTAAAAACATTTCTAAAATCAAAACATTCTAATGCATCTTTTTTTAAACTTCCTCTTAACATACATACTTTAAAGTTTGCTTTCAGACCACTAAAATTCCAACTAACTCCAATTAACTCATTAAATTTAGGTTACTCCCTCCAAGTTACCCTCCTAGAATTTTTTTTCTTGTATACATCCTTTTTAAAACTCTAAATTTTTCTTTAAGCTAATACATTTTTCTTTAACTTTCTCATAACAAATATTTTCAAATACAATTGAGGAAAGGAAAAGGAAGCCTTGTCCTTTAAGGAAAAAGGCAAAGTTCTTTCCTTTTGTGGATTCAAATTTCCCGGCTGGGAGATTTTACTGCAAAATCATTTGGTCAGCTGCATTGGAAGCCAGAATCAGTTTATTAATAGGAAGGCAAATAAGAATAAACCCCCGCAGCGTTCCTGAGATTAATCTAATAAGTGAGTAGGAAAACCTCTTTCTTATACACTTCAGTTTCTTTGATTTTGTAGGTGTGAATCTTTGAAGTCTTTGATTTGTGTTCGAGTTCCTGTTTCTAGAGATTGGGATCTCTTCCTGGGATCTTGGTAGGAGTAATTGTTTTATAGTCCAATCTCTGTTTTTCCCTTATCCTTTGTGGCTATCAGTTTGCACCTGGTTGCAATATCCTGAGTTTCCTGTTATGCTTTTTGCTTTTCACAAGTTTTTTGTAGCTTGCTATCTATTTGATTTCTATGGGAAAGGATCCTAGCTAAAGTGTGTCTCATGCAAATGTGGGGGCTAATGAAGCTGTCCCTGCTTGTGTTTTCACCTTTCCTTTCTTTTAGGGGAATTTTCCTTCCCCTTCTAATGTTTTAAGATTTATTTTCTTTTCCTAGGAGAGGGGTGAATCGTAACTTCCAATACACTTTCAATAATATTTTACAAATTTTAGGAATTACTTAAGCATTATGTATAAAGGGAAAAATAAATTTTCAAACTTTAGATTAACTTTCTTTCAATTACAAATATCAGATCAATGGAAATTCATCCTGATTCCAATTGACTCATTAAGTTTAAGTCACTCCTTCCAACTTGTCTTCATGGAATAAAGTCTTTTTCTTCTCTGGAATATTTGTCAAGTAGTTATAAGCTTATCTTTTTCTCAAGGGTTTCTCAACTTTGTTAATGTCCATGAGGAAAAAGTCCCAAACTTGTCCTTTTAAAAGTTGCTGAAATTCCAAAGTTATAATTGACTCCTCTGCATTTTCAGCTACTTTTGAAATTGCCTTGGTGGTTTGGTAACTTCCTACACACATTTACATCTGTGAAGTAGGTTTTTTTAACATCCTTGGAGCATAGCTGATCTATGAACTGGTGAATTTTATTTAAAGATTTTTGAAATACAACTCTAATAATTTGCTCCTCCATCTTCTTAACTTCCTCTTTAGTCAAAGAGTAGCTTTTTGGTAAGTCACTTAAGAATTGCTGACCAATCAGGAATCATACAAATCGTAAAGTTTTAGCCACCCACAGCAAAGCAGACCAAGCTACAAGTTACTAAACAAAATAAACTAGAACCACAACTTTCTGCCCTTATATTTCTCCATTTAAAAAAAAATAGTCCACACTTCCTTATTTTAGCTTGCCTTAGCAGCCTTTTCCCTTGTTGTTTAACAAGAAATCCCCAAAATAGCACAGATCTTCAAAAAGGAATAACAGGCTAGGACTAAAGAGAGCCTCTTTTAGCTTAACATAGATTAATAGTCCTTAATGATTAAGAAATGAAAGGTACAAGGTAGTCAGTTTGAAAAATAAATTCCAAAATGACTGCTTCTTCAACAATGAACTGATTGCAGCCCTGCCCCTCAGCTTTTGCACACAGGCTGCTTTGAAGCACAGCTCCTGAAGCTACTTGCAGACCTTTTGCTATATCAGAGGATATTGTGGGATGATTCTAGGACTTTCCCTAACCCAGGAGAGTCATATAAACTAAAGGAATGCTAGTTCCTTCCCTTGGTAGTTGAAGTTATATTCCAGGAGAAAACCCCTCAGGGATCCTTCCTTGGGCATGTCATCAGTTGGCCATCTTTTCACCGGAAACTTTGATTACTATGTTTGTCAACTGGTCCCAGTCTTACAACTCTGGGTGGTATTCAACAGAAGAATAAAATTAAACAAATTGTAGAATAACAGTCAATTAGAAATATTACAGACGTGTATACATGACCACGTATCAATCAACTGGAGCAGAAATGTTGCTAGAAAAGGAAGGCTTTCAGTGATCTTCCTGAAGCATATTCATTTTTTCCCCTGAGCTCAGAATAAGACTCAGGAACACATTTTGTAAATGAGTTTGGATATTTGATGCCAGTTTTAATAGCTGCTGAAATTAGGTCAGTTGTGACTCATCAGTTCCTTCATTGAGAGACTTTGTAATATACACTGTGTGTTGTCTTCATCCTTGAACTTAAATAAATGCATAGCTTTCTGCATAACTTACCTGGTCTCTTTTTGTTATAAAAGTGGCGGAGGTGGAGGTGGAGGAACTGGCCGTCGCCGTGATTCTTATTATGACAGGGGATACGACAGAGGATATGACAGATATGAAGAATATGACTATCGCTACAGGTACATACTCAGATGTGGTAGTTGTAGAGAGCTTCAATACAAGCAATAAATTCTGATACACAAAGTGGTGTTTAAAAGTTTGTGAACCCTTTTGAATGTTCAATATTTCTGCATAAATTTGACCTGGACATCTGTTCTCTACACAGGTCCTAAAACTAGATAAAGAGAACCAAATTACATAACTGAGTCAAAAATATACTTGTTCATTAATTTATTAATTTAAAAGCGCTGCGGTGGCGCAGTGGTTAGAGTGCAGTACTGCAGGCTACTTCTGCTGACTGTCGGCTGCCTGCAATTTGGCAGTTTGAATCTCACCAGGCTCAAGGTTGACTTTGCCTTCCATCCTTCCAAGGTCGGTAAAATGAGGACCCAGGTTGTTCGGGGCAATAGGCTGACACTCTAAACCACTTAGAGAGGGCTGTAAAGCACTGTGTATAGAAATCTAAATGCTATTGCTATTGAGAAAAATTATCCTAAGGTACATATTTGTGTGGCAAAAGTAGATGAATCTTTGCTTTCAATAACTGGTATGCTTCCATTGGGAAACAATAACTGCAACTAGATGTTTCTGCTAACTGTTGATCTGTCCTCCATATCAGCTTATTTTATTTATTTGTTAAATTTTTATGCCACCCATCTCCCCTACAAGGTGACTCTGGGTGGCTTACAGGTTGTGAAACAAGTAAAAAATACAGAATTAAAGTATTATTAAGAACTATACTAAAACCAAACTGAAAGAGTTAAGAGCCAGAGGGGATGGGGATGAGGTCTTGTTACCCCATCAGTCACCTCCAGCAGTGAGCATCCCCCATCCCCAGCTCAGGCCAGCTGGCAAAGCCAGGTTTTCATACCCTGCCAGAAGGCCAAAAGGGAGGGGGCAGTTCTCACCTCCAGTTGTCATGCCCCTGGTGGAGACTGACTCTGAGGAAGAGGAGGAACAGCCAACAGGGAGTGGGAGTGTGGCTCCAGAGGTGGTGGAGGAGGCTGGGGAAGGGCAGAGGTCGGCTGAGCAGTCAGAGGAGGATCCAGGCCCATCCCCTATCCATCCTAGGTCACGCAGGGAGGAGAGGATCAGGGAAAAGTGAGGTCTACTCAAGAGGAGATTACCATGATCCTCCTCATGGCTTGCAGCTGGGAGCTGTGTATATAAGTTTGTAACTACACAGTTAGAATTGCTGGAGTCAAAGTTTAGTGTTTACTTTGAAAGAGGTTTATCTTTGCTGGCGTTCTTCCCATGGACTCTCCTCAGTTATTTTCCTGGAGTTTATGATTAGTTATCTTGGCTTGCTTCGGAACTCTCGTCAATGTGCTTTGTTTTGGTTTTCTTTTTACTTCATTATTTACTTTTGTGACTTTAAACTGTGCCTAATAAAACAGTGAAGTTAAGTTGAAGGCCTTACTGGACTTTAATGTATGTTTTGGGTTCTGGGTTATTTTGAGAGACTACTGGTCATCACACCAGTGGTAGAATGCTTCACAGGGATGGGGCCACAGTGAAAAAGGCTCTTCTTGACCCCTCCTGCTTCAATTCCTTAGCAGATGGGATCCATAGCAGACCTCTTCCCACTGGCATCAGTGGGGCGGGTTTGTCTCATCAGGGAGAGGTGGCTCCTCAGATACTCTGGTCCCATGCCAGGTAGGGCTTTAAAGGTAACAACCTGTTAGGGATATACCCTAGCACTGGTTATGGGCCCAGGCTGCACAGTCAGACTAACCAGGATACAACAGGCTTATATAAATTGAGAGTTAGTGTAGTTACACAATACTGTAAACCGACAGCTGTGTTTTATTAGTTTATTATAGTTTAATATCCAAAGAAAAATGGCACAAGTCAATTTACCAAGTTTGTCTCTAATATCCAAACTGGATGGAACAAACTATGTTTCATGGTCTATGAAATGCAGTCTACTTCTATGCAGAGAAGGTTTGTGGAGTATAATTCAAAACCCACCAGAGGTAGATGATTGGGATCCGGAAGATGAGAATGATGCCCAGAAAATAAATGAATATAAACTGAAAAATGAGCAAGCTCTATGTATAATAGGACTGACACTCTGTGACCAGCAGCTTGTCCATATTCGTGGAGAAGAAACAGCTGCTAAGTGTTGGGAGAATTTAAAGAAGATTTATGTTCGAGAAAGTGTAGGAACACATATAAATCTTACACGGAGGCTGTTCAGAACACATCTTCAAAAGAATGGAGACATGTTGACTCATATAAACACTATGAAGAGGATTTTTCAGGAACTGCATGAAAAAGAACTTATCTTCACAGAACTGCATCAGGTTTATATAATTTTGTCTTCGTTAGATGAGAGCTATGACGACTATGTAACTTCACTGGAAGTACTGCCAAAAGATAACCTCACATTAACTGACATTACTGGCAGATTAATTGAAGAAGCCAGGAGAAGGCTTGAAAGGGATCAACTGAGAAGGGAACAACCACAAGAAGAGAAATTATCTTCAACAGCCTATACAATTAAAAAATGTTTTAATTGTGGAGGAAAAGGACATTTGGCTAGATTCTGCAAAAAAGGAAAACGTCAGAATGCCAAAAAGCATCAAAAAGATGATTTTTTTTTTGAAATAGCCATGTATAGCAGCAAAATTGTAAATAATAATTTATGGGTTGTAGATAGTGGAGTGTCGCACTGCATAACAAAAGATAAGAAAAGATTTATTAAGATGTCAACGAGTTCACAACAGATATCGTTAGCTAATGGCTGGAAAATGAAAGCAAAAGCTGAAGGTATTGCACATTGTTCGTGTATAAAAGAAAATGTTAAAATGTTGTATGTACCACAACTTAAGTTTAATTTGCTTTCAGTTAGAGTTTTGATTAAACTAGGTTATGTAGTTACCTTTAGGGGAGAAAACTGCATAATAGAAAAGGAAGGTAAAAAAGTGACTGCAACTTTAAAAGATGAATTGTATGTATTAAATGATAATCAATTAGAGGTGGCTAATACAGTGTATAATAACGTTAAGCCTCATGACGAATGCATACATTTGCTACACAGACGTTTAGGGCATATAAATTTTAAAATGCTCAAGCAAACGGTTGAACTGTCTGAAGGTATAAAACTGAAGCCTTGCAGTAAGTATTTGCACTGCAATGCTTGCAGTCAAGAAAAGAGCAAGGTAATACCAGCAAATAGAATCAATGGATTTAAAACTAAAGAGCCTCTAGAGGTCGTATTTGCTGATATTATAGGTCCTAAAAAACCTAGTATGGGAGGTGCTCGTTATATATTAAGCATAATGGATCATTACTCAAGATATGGTTTCTGTTATTTAATGAAGAGTAAAACAGAAACATATCAGAATTTCTTTAATTGGTTGAAGTTTGCTGGAAAAAAAACCTAAAAGAAAACTAGTAACTCTTGTAACTGATAATGGTACGGAATTTATAAATAAGAAATTCCAAAATAGACTGAAGATGGCAGGTGTTGAACATAAAAAGTCTGCACCATATAGGCCACAACATAATTCTTTTATAGAAAGACGAGGCCAAACAATACAAGCAATGGCTCGTACTATGTTGTCAGATTCAGGATTACCTGAAACTTTGTGGGGAGAAGCAATAATGTGTGGTAATCATATATTAAATAATGTTGTTAACACAACAACAGGTGAATTACCATTCACACGGTGGCATGGTAGAAAACCTGACCTAAGCTACATGCACACATTTGGAGCACCAGCATGGGTGCACATTCCTACACAACTGAGACATAAGGGGCAGCATAGGGCTAAAAAGTTATTCTTTGTAGGTTATGAATCTAATCACAAATCATACAGATTCTGGGAAAAAGGTACATCTAGCGTTTACTGTAGTGCTAGTGCACAATTCCTTGAACATGTAGGATGGGAAAAACTGGAGCAAGATTCAAGTAAGGATATAATCATAGAAACCTATAGAAGATCAAAACAATATATCAGTAAGCAAAAGAGTACAATTAAAGAAGAAGTACAGAAAGAGCTCATAAAACCAGAACAGGAAAGAATAGATGAACAGGATGAGGTAGATAAACAGGAACAAGTAGTACATGAAAGTCCACCTGTAAGCCCTGTAATACCTAGACGTTCAACACGTGAAACCAGACCACCTGACAGGTACCAAGCAAGTGTAGTTTGCCAAGTTAGTAAAGTTCCAACTACTGTTGAAGAATTTAGAATGTATCCTGCAAAGGATCAAGAAAATTGGCATAGAGCGATGGAGAAGGAACTAAATTCACTGAAACAAATGGAAGTTTATGAAAACGTTAAATTACCTCTAGGTAAAAAATCCATTGGCTGTAAATGGATATTTAAATTGAAAACAGGTAAATATGGAACTGTTACCCATAAGGCTAGGTTGGTAGCTCAAGGATTTAATCAAACTGCAAGTGATTATGACGAAGTATTTGCACCGAGTCTAAAAGCAACAACCTTGAGAGCAGCTTTAGTGTGGGCAGCTAAGAAGAACTATATCATAAATCACTTAGATGTAGAAACTGCCTATCTGCATGCACCATTGCAGCACACAATATACCTAAAGAAACCTGTAGGAATTAAGAACGATAGAACAAATAATGACTGTTGGAAGCTTAAAAAGAGTCTCTATGGATTAAAAAAATCTGGTTACGAATGGAACCAATATATTGTTAAGGAGTTAACCAATATAGGGTTTAAAGCAGGTTTAGCTGATTCATGTTTATTTAAGAGAGAGACTAATGGAACAGTATCATTGTTATTATTATTCACTGATGATATTGCCTTAATCACAAAAACTAATAATGAAGCTACTGAAATAATATCATTATTAGGTAAGAAGATAGAAATAAAGCAACTAGGAGAGATAAAGCAGTATCTAGGATTAACCATAAATAAAACCAAAGGTGGCTATAAGATATCTCAAGAGGATAAGATTTATCAATTACTAAAAACATACAAGATGGAACTTTGTAAGCCGGCTAAAACTCCAATGAGTCAAGAATTTAGCCACACTGATATTC